GGAGGCACGCGGAGGGCTGGGGTGGCTGGAAGGCGTCTGGCAGCCGTTCTCCTTCGCTCCGACCAAGAGCAGAGGCGTAGGCTGCCCCAGCCCCTGAAGCACGCACGGCATTGCGCGGATGTGCTGCAGCTCTGATCCGCTCCCGTGTGCACGCGCGGAAGCCGGAGTGGCGTAACTTCAGTCGAAACCTTGTGTTGAGTTACGTGGAATGGCAGCAAAGTGAGAAAGTATTGCCCTGTAGCTAAGTTGTCCAGCTGTATTTGTGGCGTATTTGGAGTTTCAGAGAACCTGCAGTAATACTTGCAAATGGCACTGCGCTCCCCCCGTGCTGACAGGTGGCTATTGCTGATGTTGCAAAGATGATGGACCTCAGTTCTGAGACTGAACCATCCTCTCTAAAGTCCTCTGGCTTCACAGAGCCACAGTGAGATGCAAAGAGAGGGGCAGAACAGCAGCTGCACCTGCTGTCTGTGCTGAAACCATCTCTGTCTTGCCTCAACAGGTACCTTGTGTTCATAAGCCAGACTGATCCCTAACTCCTGTCTCTGAACTTCTGGCGGTAGTCTCCTGTGAGACGTGTTGTTCCCTTCACTGTGCTGCCAAAGCAGCTTACCGTGAGATGTGTATCAGTTAGGAGTTCTTTCTTCCTTTGGTGTGTAATAGCTGCAAGACAAGAATGGAAAAGATTGATCCTTAACTCCTGCAAAGGACATAAAATGTTAGATCTCTTGCCACTCTGCTGTAGAGAAAGTGGCAAAGGAGAGAGTGGATATGATATAGGTCTAGGGGGTGAAAGGCAGCCATGGGATGTACTGTGCAGAGGAAAACTGGGACTTCTGCTTGTTTGATTTTTCTGTTTGTGTACAATATTGGATTTGATGCAGAAATAAAAAGGGAATGTATTTGAAAAATAAGGAGTGGATAATAACAGAGAAGAGAGTATAAGCAGAAGGTATGTAAGGGAAGACAGACTGTTTCCAGGTAAATATGGATGTGTTAAGTGTTTTGTTTGATTACAGTTCCCTGCTATCTGTACAACGCACATTTTCTTTGTCACATGTAAGATAGTTGCAAAATTTTTTACAGTCTGAAAGCTGAATGAGTGTGTAGGATAATTTGCACAAGTGTGATTGGTATAGCAGGACTAGTGGGGAGCCATGTTGCCTATTTCATTATTGTGGCTGTATCTACAAAAACACCAAAGAGTGCCTTTTAATTTTGGAGAATGATTTAGTGCTATTCCTGCTTGTCTAACGGCACTTCTAAATGAAGTGCCACGTATCTTCAAGAAATACAGTGGTGACAAAGAAGAATAGTAGTGGTTGTTTTGGAATTGAATCCACACTGATTTTGAAATACAGCTTTTTATCTTTTGCAGTAAGTGATTTGAAATACTTTCTTTGTCTTTACTTGTGTCTTAGGAAGACCGCTTATTGGCTATTAGAAGTAATTAGAATTCAGTTACGCTGTGTAGGTGATATGAAAGGTCTGTTCTCCATGGTATGTTGTGGCAGCAGTAACGCATTTATAGAGGTAGCATGTGCTGGATAAGCTGCAAATAGAAGTGTCTGTGTGAGTTCAGCTGTCTCGTATTGATCTGATTTTTGTTTGGGCTTCCGACAAGGGTGAATTTCTCTTTGCCAATTACATCTTTGCCTCGTAGGTTTTTAGGAGAAAAGTTTGAAAGTGATAGCTGGTAGGGTCAAACTCTTTAGAATATTAATATGTGAGTTAGATAGGCACACTGTTAGCAGCAGTTTCTTAGAATTGAGAAATGAGAGTAGTGGTTGGCTGGTTTTGTGCTTTAAAGTGATCAGTAATATCTGAGCGCATATGAAACTTCCCTTCAACACCAGTCACAAAACTGCCTTCTCATTTGCTGTCTGCCAAGTGCTGTAGTTTGTACAAAAGGGATATCTAGACCCCCCGATATCAAGCACTAGCTTGTTTGTGTGTTAAGTCAGGGAAGTTAATAGCATGACCTTCAGATCTGATGAGCTTGATGTTTAGATGATGAGGATTGTCAGCTGCTCTCATAGTCAACGTTGTCCCTGTCCTTACACTTTTATGTGTAATTATAATACTGGCAACAGGTGGGTAGTGAGAAAATGGGTTCGATGCCTCTTTCACTGAAAGTGTCTTAGGCCTTCTTTTTCACAGGCAATGTGCAAGCTCCTTTGTTTGAACAGTTTTTTTTGTCATCGTGTGCACAGAAGCATTTCTGAATTATACTGCATTCCTTTGGGGCAGAAAGAGTCTGATCCTCTGCTCTGGCCTGCACTCAAGTGGTGAGGGATCTGTCTTGTCCTGAACCGAACAAGTGAACCTTTCGAGAGCAGTGTGAGAAAGACTGCAGCTTTGTGTGGAGCTGAGCCAGTCGATATTCTGCTGCTGCCAACAGGGAGAGTCGTGCTTCTCCCTTCTCCATCCCATCTGCCAGCCGTGCAGGCCTGCTTTCTCACTCCTTCCACACACCAGCGCAGGTGTACCTCGTGTTGCATTGCTCTGACTTTTAATAAGGGACAGAAGATTTCTGCAGTGATGGTGGGAGAGCGAATAGCTTTCTGTGATCTTAGCAACTTACTATGTTTGAGTGAAGAGTAAATACCAGGGCTGGGAGGGCTGCTTTGCTGTTGAAGAGCTGTTTATTTTGGCTCATCATGTCTCCTGAAACCAAACCCTTATGCTGCAGCCTGAAGCCAGTGACACAGCCCCTTCCAGCTGTTGAGAGGCAGGCCTTGCTGTGTCTACCTCTCTGCTCTGCCAGCTTATCAGCCCTCTCGGTAGATGATCCTTACTCGACCTCAGCAGAAGACTCTCCACTTCTGCTGTGTTTTTGATGAAGTTAGCTGATAGGCTCGAAGTATATAACGCTAAGATGCGGCAGAAGGAAGGAGATGCAAAGGGGAACAGGATGGCGGTGATGAGTTATTAGGTCAGCCCTGTTTTGTGGAACTGAAGCCTGTGTTCTTTCTTCTTTGCTAACCATGGGTATGTATTTGACCTAGGTCTTGAACGGAGACTGATTTCTACGTTCTTCAGTTTTTGATTTGAGACACCAAGGACTTGAGTTTCAAAGAACCATAAGAACAAATCTCTTTAAAAATATCTCCAGTTTAGAAGCCACACAAAACGGGCCCAGAATGGTTTGTCAACTTTGAAAATGTAGGCTTTGAAATTTTTGTTAATTTCAGTCCTGGTTGTTTATATTATTCTGGGGCTGTACTATGTGACTTGTGTTCTAAACAATGTTAAGCATGAAAATGTACTTTTTTCTTCTTGTTGTTTCTAGGCTGAAGAGTTTGCAGAACAGCCAGAAGATCCACTACCACCTCCGCTGCCACCACCACCACCTCCACCACCACCACCACCGGCAGCTCCAGTACTACCACCATCTTCATCAACTCCTCCTTTTCATTTATCTCAAATAGATGCCAGGTTTGTAGATCCAAGTATTGGATTATTGATGCCTCCTCTCCAGACCCCTAGCAATCTTGCTGTTTTTTGTGATCACAACTATACCGTAGAGGATACAGTTCATCAGCGTAAAAGAATTCAGCAGCTGGAGGAACAAGTTGAAAAACTGCGGAAGAAGCTCAAGACAGCGCAACAGCGATGCCGGCGTCAGGAAAGACAAATTGAAAAACTGAGAGAGATTGTTCAGTTTCAGAAAGAAAAAGACATATTGGCAGGAAAAGGCTATGTGATTCTGCCCAATGACTATTTTGAAGTTGTCGAAGTACCTGCCTAGAAGTCATGAACATCAGCTTTCACTTTGCTAGGCCAAGAAATTGAGTTTAAAAACTAAATGGTCTCTAATTCTGTGTGTAAGACTCTCAAGAACTGTAAAACAGTAAATAAGCAGTCATGCAAATGAGATCACATTTTCTCTTCATCATCGTTTCAGTTTGATACACTTATAATATATTGAAAATGCAAGCATCTTGGAACTAGGATTTGCATTTAGGTTACAAAATCTGAATTGCTTTACAGAAAGAAAAGATGCAAGGTTGAATACTTTTAAAATATGTGGGTTTTTTGTTTTTTGTTTTGTTTTTTGTTTTGTTTTTTTTTACAATGGCTATCTTGTGCTCACAGGGCATGGGGAGCTGAATCTGGCTGAGAGTGAAGTTGAGCTTGTTGTACACTTAGTGCAAAGCTTTTTCAAGGCATTTAATGTTGGCTGTGGGGATCCCCAGGAAGCAGTGTTCACTGATGTCAGAAGGAGCAGAATTAGGCCAGCTAAAAACACCTGCAAGCACTGCAGAAAGATACAGAAAGGTAAGATATGCATTTCAGCCTGGGAAAACTTCCAGCCTCAGTTTGCTATGCCTTCAAAGCACTGCAAAAAGTCTTAATTCCTGGATCCCTTCAGTGAGGTACGTAAACGAACCTCTTATTTTGGAGCAACCTTTCACCACATGTGTGTTGTGAGGGAGAGGAGGAGAATTCATTAGCGTATCTGACAAGAGTTGTAGAAGAGGCTTTTGTTTTGAGGGCACTTGAATATACTCCTGAAGTGCAGTGCTGCACTGAACGTATATGTTATTGGACTGTTGGCAGGATCAGGAAGGCAGTGTACTGTTCAGGGTGACTGATTTTCAAAAGCACCCTGAGAATATACAGTCCCCAATATGTTGGAGTGTGATGTTCCCATGAGCGCTGTAATGGATAGAATGTTGTCCTCATCTTTGAAATTATTGGTCTCAGCTGTATGTAGCTTCAGGAAGTGTAGAAGTTTTTTTACTTATCCAGGGTGTTGGGCATTTGTGACTTTCATTGCAGTAACTACTGTGATTTTTTTTTTTTTTTTTTTTTGTTTCACTCTCCCCAAAAGGCATCCACCAAAGGGCAGTTACAGAATTAGACTTTGGGAGTTGCGTGGTGCTAGACTGGTTTTTAATATCTCAAATGCTGCTGCCTCTCCTTCAGCTTTATTAAGAAAGAATCTTTCTAAGAACAAATTTAGCATGAGAAAGTAGTGCAGCACTTAGCACTTTCTATCTAATAATTTGTTTAGTCAATGAACTTGTTCAAAATCGGAGAAAATGGCATCATGCTAACCCTACTATAGCCTTCAGAGCTGAAATTCCTGGATGTATTAGACATGAGAAAAATGACATTTCTTAGTCCATGTCAAACCTGTGTGCAGTGTGGATTCTAGCTCTGATATTAATCAAGCCCTGTTAATGATGGCTTTAAAAGCTTCCCTTGGGTATCCTGTTAGCATGACATTTTGAAATGTTTCGAACCAGTCTTGGTACTTCTGACCTCACTCATGCCGTGTATCTACTTTCCCTATATATACTTAAGATGAACAAAAATGCTGATGCATCCTTTTGTGTAACATTATTATACCTGATAAAAAAATAAAAAGGAGATGGTGTGTTAGATTTTCAACTGCTCACTCTCCTCTTTTCCCAGGACTTTGCCAAAACTAGCTTGACGCTTTGTATCTTTTTTCTCTCAAGTAGTTTCCTGGTCTAGGTGCTGGGTTTTTCTCACAGCGTTCCCAAGTCTCATTGCTGTTACTCTTTATACTTAAAATAAACTGGAAAATTCAAAAAGTGACAAGGAAAAGATGTTTAAACAAGTGTTGCTATGCTGTTAGCATGTGTGGCCAGATAGCAGATGTTTCTGTTTTCTCTGTAAAACACCCTCTCTTCATAAGCTCTGGGAGTTTGAAGTGTGACTCCCTGAGGCACGGTGGGTTGCTGCCATACCACACCTCTGTGGCTGCAGAGCTCCCATGCCTCTCTTCCCCCCCCCCCTGCTATTTGGCTGGGTACTCCTGTCACCACCCTCCATATTCGCACCAATTCTCATGCTGGTTGCACTCTTCTGTGGGGCAATCCAGCCCAATAAAGCAGCAGGCTGGGCTCGTAGTGGAGAGGCAGAGGAGGACCAGCAGTATCAGGTCTGATGCAATAAAAAGGCAGGGCCAGGAGCTGGGGATGGGGAGAAAGAATTCCTCTCTTCTGGCTGCAGTGACCTGTTGCATTACATCAGCTGCTTCTGAAAACATAAAGGTAACTTCATACTCTCAGCGTTCAGCAGTGTTTCCTTCCGCCCTGGCCAAAGACCCCCATCTACCTCTACCTTCTGCTCTGGCTGCTGTGCTTACTGGGACCTTTCTGCAGGTATTTTAGCTTCATAGCCCAGAAAAGCAGCCCAACGAAAGTAAGTCAGCAAGGTAGATTGAAAGCACACAGATGGATGGTTGGGGGTGTTAGAGTTATTGTGTGTTTAAGCTTTTTGTGCTGGTGAAGTTGCTTTGATGGTTGACTCAGGTACATGTTCCTTCCATTGAGGGGTAATCATTGCTTGGCTTAAGGGTTTCAGTAGTAGCAGGTTGAAGAGGGGACTGCTGCCCAATTGCTCATGCTTTCTTCCCTGTTATCAAAGGATTTTTCTAAGAAGAGATGCAGTCCAATCTGACAACGGGCTTGAATTTCTGCTGCAGCAGCTCTTGTTTTTTTTCTGTAAAAAACCCCCTTGGTTACTCCTGATGTTAGGAGTGATGATAGGGCTAGGTGTGGACTCTGCTAGTTATCAGTATCGCAGAGAGCTGAAGTGGGGAAAAAAGGCTGGCACTGAAGCAAGTGGTTGTCTTGCAGCAGTTGACTTTCCCTGCACTGTGCCCTACCCTGCACTATACTGCAATCTCTCCGATTGATAGCAGTATAGAAAGAGAAGATAAAGGCTGTCTACTACTGGCCAGGCAGGAAAAGGGATTCTAGCTTTTCATGTAGAATTAAGAAGCGCAATATGTTCCCCAAGGATTTGTTAAAATTTCCTCTTCTTTTTGAAATGGGATCTGTTACATTCACACAATCAGCTGTAAAAAAGGGCTGCATCGCTTAACTGTTTGTAGTGGCCACAACTGGTACCTGCACATAGCAGCGATTTTGTACACATCTGAAAAAAAGCGGTTGGGAGTTTAAAAAGTGGAGATGGGAATGTAGAACTGCATGTGGTTGTCCAGTTGCGCATGAAGTAGCTGACATTTGTTTAACTGCACTTCATTGAAGCCTATTTCATAAAGCAAACAATTCAAGAAAGTTAGAAAGCAGCAAAATTGGCAAAAATGCTCCATGCTTAAAATTTGGACAGAGAGATTTGTTATGGAATGGGCTGATGCCTCAACAGGCAGAAATCAGAGCTGCTTCTAAAAAGAGAAGTGTTGGCTTAACTTCCCCCAGTTGCCCGGATTTCCCTTTTGCTGTGGTAGGGTATCTGACCTGTGTGTAGCATTTACTTTTTTTCTCCTTACACCTCTGCAAAGTATTAGGTTTCCATGTCTAACTGGGACAGTTAAAACCTAGAGGTGTGTTTTATGGGGGGAAAAACAAGCAGCAAAATACTTGTATAACTGAGACAGTCCTTCATCACTGCCCTTTTTTCTCCTCTACTTCCAGTTGCCACCTTGTCTGTGTTGTTACTAGCACGGTCTTAACAGCTGTGGCAGTAAATTGATGAAATATTTCCAAGAAATCTTGTATCTTGCTGAGGTTTCATTTTCCTTCAGCTCTACATGGGATTTAGGGTACAGGTGCCCTGTGTAAATTTTGAGGGAGTTCTCCTGCAGTTGAAGAAAGTGCAAAGCAAATCTCAGTTTGAATGTAGGAAGAAGGAAAGCGAAGTAGTTGCTTGGGTGAAACAGAAACCACGACAGTTTCCAAGTCTATTTCAAAAGGTTTCTCCTATTGCATGCTTCACTGGAACCTGGAAGTTATTCCTCGTTGCCCTTTTGCTTTGTTTCTTTCCTGAGATCTGGTTTAGTTTTCAGTCTATAGGCTTGTCTGTTTCCTGCCAGCTTATACCTTCATCAGGTGGCTTTGGCAGGGTGGAAAGGGGTGTTTTGAGCTATTGTCTAATTTTAACAACCAAAACACAATCTGCCAAAGCCTGTTGATGCTTACAGTCTGTCATGACTGCAAGTTCAGGTCTGTAACTGTGTTTTGTGCACAGCAGGTTATTAGCCATATTTTAGCCATGATAGTGATTTATTAATAAATAAGAAAAAGCAAAACAGGATAGATGATTCAAAAAATATGATGATGACAGTAATTGCTATTACAAATTTCTCTTTGTGCCTGTTTAGTGCTTTCAATGGAAATTTTATCTTCTTACAGGGATCTTTCGATGGAACTGCAGTATTTTATTGCGCAAATTGGGCAGAAGGCCTTACAGTGCTATACAGACTGGAGGAGATTAAAAGTGTGCAGAAAAAATGTGTTGCAAAGTTGTTTAACCCATTATGAAGAATTTTAAATGGTTCCGGAAAGAAATTCACCTTAAATGTTCTTAAGTCAAAGAAAGCATTTAAATCAGTTACTCAGAGTGAAATTTTCAAGAACCTCTCTTGAGAATAGATGCATTACATTGTCATAATTAAGTCATCGCAATAATTAAATCCCTCCATGGTCCCGCCACTAGTAGTTCATTTAGCAAAGACTTTAATTGCCTGTTGTGCAAAATGATCTAGTGATCTTCCTGTAGCTGCCTTCCCCCACTATACAGGGAAAACAGATTGTAAAGCGTGGGCTTACATGTTCCAGCAACTTCTGAAAAAGTGTTGTCCTCTGCATCTTAACTGGTTCCAGTGGTCTATTAAAAGGTCTTTCAGTTAGTGGTCTGCTGAAAGGTCTTTTAGTTAGGGAGGAGCATGGAGAATATCGTGAGGCTAGTTGTTTGGTTTTTTTAAACGCAGGGAGGACTTGAACAAATTAGGCAGGCAGATGTGACTATTAAAGGTTCAGGGTCTGTGG